TACATCTATATTCCCTTCCTTCTCAAGGACAGCAGGCATGATAAGATTAGAATATCCCACAATTAGGCCGGGTGAGGTGGCTCATGCCTGTAATCCCAGCACTTTGGGAGGCCAAGGCAGGTGGATCACCTGAGGTTAGGAGTTCGAGACCAGCCCAGCCAAAGTCAAATGTACAAAACAAAGTGAATTTGAAGAAGTCTAGTTTCTATCCCTATCCCCTGCATTTTCTTCCCTCTCTTTTTTATAAGTAACTATTATTAATATTTTGTGATGTTAATCCTTCCATTCTTTGTTTTCTAATATAAACAAATGTATTTACATGTATGTGTATGCATGCATATATGTGCGTATATGTATATAAATATATATATATATGTATCCATTCTGATATACATGGTAGCATTGTAGACTCACATTTCTCCCTCCATTTTTCACTTGTAATATATCCTAGAGACCAATCCATAATATATTTAAAGATCCTACTTCCATCTGGGCACGGTGGCTCCCTCCTGTAATCCCAGCACTTTGGGAGGCCAAGGCTTATGGATCACGAGGTTGGGAGTTCAAGACCAGCCTGGCCAGCATGGTGAGACTCTGTCTCTACTAAAAATACAAAAATTAGCCAGGTATGGTGGCAGGCACCTGTAATCCCAGCTACTTAGGAAGCTGAGGCAGGAGAATTGCTTGAACCTGAGAGGCGGAGGTTGCAGTAAGCCAAGATCATCCCATTGCACTCCAGCCTGAGCAGAACTAGACTGTCTCAAAAAAAAAAAAAAAAAATTCTACTTCCATCTTATAGCTACACAGACTCCATTGTGTGTAGGTATCATAGTTTATTCAACCAGTCCTCTGTTAATAGACGTCGGCGTTATTTCTAGTCTTTTGCTATTATAAATAGTTTCCATTCTATGGGTTATGTTATATTTATATATATTCATATCTTAAATATAAGTAATTTTTACTATGTGGAAATATACAAGGTGAGCCTACGCCATCTTGCACCACATAGCAGGAGAGCTATCAAAAACTACTAGGGTTGTGTCAAAAGACGTCAGGAACCCATTTGAAAATGCTATCACAGACCAACGAGGATAACTTGAGTATTAATAAGAATAATATATGTACAGAAGCACATTACATTTCAATGAATGAGTTCAAATTATAATTAGAATAGAGAAAACAAACGTTATTTAAAAATAAGACAAAGCAAACACCATTGGCACCTGCCAGAAAGTCAACTTAAGAAATAATAGGATTAAAATATTACCATTTTTAGCTGGGCTTGGTGGTTCACGCCTGTAATCCTAGCACACTGGGAGGCCAGTGCAGGTGGATCTCAAGGTCTGGAGATGGAGACCATCCTGGCTAACACAGTGAAACCCTGTCTCTACTAAAAATACAAAGATTAGCTAGGCATGGTGGCATGCACCTGTAGTCCCAGCTACTCAGGAGGCTGAGGCAGAAGAATTGCTTGAACTGGGGAGATGGAGGTTGCAGTGAGCTGAGATTGCGCCACTGCACTCCAGCCTGGGCGACAGAGTAAGGCTCCATCTCAAAAAAACAAAAAAACAAAAACAAAAAAACATTTTTACAATCCTTAATGAACTAATAATGAATCTAGGTAACATCACAAAAGAAGAGATTTTTAGATATTATGTACTGCCTGATGACAAAACACTCCACTCCCTATGAAGCAGTCTTGCCAAAAATAAATAAATATATATAAATAAATATTTATATAAATAAATATAAATATTTATTTATATAAATAAAGCACATTAAAAAATATATATATTTATATAAATATATATATTTTTTCATGTGCTTCTGTACATATTATTACAACCCTTAATGAACTAATAATAGATCTAGGTAACATCACAAAAGATTTTTAGATATTATGTACCTTTGTCTTATTTTTAAATAACTTCTGTTTTCTCTATGAATAGAGAACTCCTGGGTTCTCTATTCTAATTATAATTTGAACTATTCATTGAAATGTATTTCATGTGCTTCTGTGCAAATATTATTCTTATTAATACTCAAGTTATCCTCATTGGTCTGTGATAGCATTTTCAAATGGGTTCCTGACGTCTTTTGACACAACCCTAGTAGTTTTTGATAGCTCTCCTGCTATGTGGTGCAAGATGGCGTAGGCTCACCTTGTATATTTCCACATAGTAAAAATTACTTATATTTAAGATGTGAATATATATATTTTTCTGCAATCAGAAAAATCCAGACTGTGAGAAGTTCTACAGGACAAACAACTTGTTTTTTGCAACAAATAAGTGACAAGGAAAAAAATGAGATTAAAAGAGATTTAAGAGATTTAAATGAAAAGAGATTTAAGAGACATATGAACTGACTTCAGTGCATGAACCTTATTTGGATCCTCCTTCAAACAAGCAAGCTATAAAAGTAACTTATAGGATCTGTGAGACAAAAATTCAAACACTGAATATTTCATACTATTAAAAAATAGTATTAGTTAATTTAGATATGATAATGGTGGTTTTTTTACAAGTCCTTATCTTTTAAATATTCGTGCTGAAATATATATATTTTAGACAGGGTCTCAGTCTGTCACCCAGGCTGAAGTGCAGTGGCACAACTGTAGCTCACTGCAGCCTTGAACTCCTGGGTTCAAATGATCCTCCCACCTTATCCTCCCCAGTAGCTGGGATTACAGGCACTCACCACACACACAGCTAATTTTTAAAATTTTTTGTACAGTCAAAGCCTTACTATGTAGGCCAGGCTGGGCTCAAACTAATGGCCTCAAGTGATCCTTCTGCCCGGGCCTCCCAAAGTGTTGGGATTACAGGAATGAGTCACCACACCCAGTCATATCAAAATTTATGGGGCCAGGTGCGGTGGCAGGCAGATCGCAAGGTCAAGAGATCGAGGTCATCCTGGCCAACGTGGTAAAACCCCATCTTTACTAAAAATACAAAAATTATCTGGGCATGGTGGCACGCACCTGTAGTCCCAGCTACTCAGGAAGCTGAGGCAGGAGAATCGCTTGGACTGGGGAGGCAGAGTTTGCAGTGAGTCGAGATCGTGCCACTGCACTCCAGTCTGGGTGAGAGAGTGAGACTCCGTTTCAAAAAAAGAAAAAAAATTTATGGATGAAATAATATAATATCTGGTATTTGCTTCAAAATAAAGTAAGATGGGGAGAGGAAGGGGGTATTGATGGGTTAGACATGGGTTGATAGGTAGATGGGACCCTTTATGCTTCTGCCTACTTTTCCTTATGTTTAATTTTTCTATAATAAACCATTAATATATAACGACTATTCTGGTATGTGTAACTGTGTGCACATGTGTGTTTGTGTGTGTGTATAAATTAAAAACAAAATTTTAATGATGATCTCTTCGGGTGACAGATTATGGGTGACTTGGCGATTTTTATTTTCTTCTTTTTACTCTGTATTCTATTTTTTTATACTATACGTGTGTTTTTTATAATTAGGGAAAAATTATTTAAAAAGACAAATATTTTCATTGTTTAACAATGCCATTTTTACAATTCAACTATAATTCACTTCTGACACAGTGAATAAAATAACTTTGTCCAGCATTATTTAAATATAATTGGGCAAGGCTAATTATTTAATATTCAATTACATTTAGTTTTGATTGGGTACAGATCATAGTTTATGAAAATATAGCTCTAAAGTAAAGCTACAGAGATTTGGAAATTCTGTTATTTGGTGTAATAGATAATCTTAAATTTATAGCTTAGGAGTAAACAGTTAATTTTTTTCTCCTTCTTACATAACACAAAAACAACAGATCTAAGTTTGGCACAAACTTTCTCCTCCAAAGTCACCTTTGTGCTGAAATCCAGCACCTCAGGTTTCAGTCAAGTAATTTGCAGATGAGAAAAGGTTTCTTAGCAGAATTTTCTTATAGTTTTACTACAGTGTTTGTTTCCAACAACTTGGCAGAGTCTTGTTTTCACAGCTAAGTGAGTCAGAGGGAAGGCTTCTCCTTCGCATTTTCTGATATGCAGAGAGGACAGGCAGTTACCAAATCAAATCACACTTTTTGTATCACTGAAATAAATGTAAGGCCATGACAGCAGATGCAATTAAATAGAAAGATAGTTAGCGGATATTTTTAGCATATTACGAGTTAATGCAAGGTACTGCATGGTTTCTCATTCAGTTATAAAAAGGTTATTCCTTTAAGGTCAGTAAACATTTTTTAAATCCCCAACTTACAAAAACAAGTCTATTTTATAATTATATCACCATCTGAATGTTCTAGTATCAGATAATTGTCCCTTCTTCATTTATTTTGAAATAGACATTTTATCTACCTAATATTCCTTCTTCTACTGGTTCACGTGTCATTTTCTCCTAAATAAACCCTTGTCAGCTCCTGTTATGAAATCTGTCTGAACAGATTACCATGGAAGTACTTTTTTTTGTTCTGAATGTGGACTTTAAAGCAAAATCATAGGTAGATTTAGCTAAATTTGAAAGTGAAACTTTGATTTAACAAATGGCTAGAGGCAGACAATTTTGATTTGGGTCCATCTGTCCCTTTGAATTTCCGTGGATTCTTATATACTTCACATAAATTCAATCTACACTTGCAACTATGTTCTAAGATTTTTTGCTAAGTATTTCCATATATAATCCCAAGTATTTAGTACAATGACTTGTGAAATAGCTATTTTTTGTTTGTTTGTCTGTTTGTTTTGAGACAGGGTCTTCATCTGTCACCCAGGTTGGAATGCAGTGGTGCCATCATAACTCACTGCAGTCTCCACCTCCTGGGCTCAAGTGATCCTTCCACTTCAGCCTCCTGAGTAGCTGGGACTACAGGTGCGCACCACCACGCCTAGCTAATTTTTGTATTTTTTGTAATTTTGTATTTTTTGCCATGTTGCCCAGGCATGAGATCCTTATTTTAGAGAGAGATTAAGTTGCTTGCTCAAGGTCACACAGTCATTGAGTTATTCCAAATTTTGTTGCCACTTTTAGGTTATGAACCATAGTGATTGAGAGCATCTGCAGCAGTCCTTGGTGCCTAGTACTGAGCCTTGTATTAGAAAGGATGCCACATCAGTTCAAAGGATGACAGCCATCTATCTGGTTGCAAAAACAGGGTACTCCACCTCCCCCACACCCCAAAGGATGTACGAGAGGTACACAAGGCAACTCTTGGAGCAAAGATGGGGCCAGCCGAGGTGGAGCAGTTTCTCTCTCATGTAGAAACCAACTAAAAGGAGAAGGGAGAGGGAAGATCTGTTTTTCACAGCAGCACAGACTTCTGCCTTGATCTTTTAGCAAACTTAGGAAGGTTCCGACATCTTTAAGCCTGGGAAGATACAGTGTTTTAATTTGATGACCAGCAAACCAAAGGTCAATCTGAGAAAGTTGATTCTTGACATATTTCCAACAAGGGTCACTTGTTTCATCCCAACGGACTCCAAGTTAAGAATTAAAAACCTCAACTGTAGTAAATTACATGTTTGAAAAACTGAGAGTTCTAATTACACACACATCCCAAATGCCAGCGGGGCCCACTCTATTCATGTTCTCATAGCTTTATGAAAAACTGTTTGTTTGGAATGTGGTTTTTAAAAGTAATTTACCTTCAGGTTTAGTTGAAGAATGGAATATGTGAGAAAAGAATTTTCCAACTTCTCTTGACTCAGCGATGAAAAGGAAAATATGTTTATACGAATATGGCTGCTTGTTGATCTAAGACATTTGAAATTTCACATGCTAAATGCTAAATCCACTTATAAATTTCAAACATAATTTCCAAGACATACCCTTGTTCTAATACTACAGAACCATCTCGATGGGCATCAACTGGGCATCAAATTAACTATTCCTATAAGGTTACACTAGAGTTACTACTGGGAACATTTCATTTGTGGAGGCATAAAGACAGGTTACATGACACTTTGTAAGTGGACTTGAACTAAAGGATATTAGAAATAAATAGGAACAACAAAAATAAAACATGACTAAACCAACGCTCCTGCCACCATCAAAACAAATGTTTCCAAGGAACTGAAGCCAAGAAAACAGAAATCCACAAACACAAAGGCCAAGATAAAGAGTTGAATCTATTAAATCAAAACACTAAAAACCAAGCAATACCAAAACCCCACCTGCATTGAAGAACACCAAAGAACGTTGACATTTTCTGCCCCACTGCCTGCCACAGAAATCCAAGCCTGCAGCTGATTTTAAAATGACCAAATCTCCAAAAATCTCAAGAGATGGCTGTTTTAAAGACACAATATCTTTGATCATGTAGGTCATGTCCACATTAACATAAGTAATAATTATTAAAGAAGAAGGAATCTCCTTCATTCATTTTAAAAAACAATTCTTTTTCATTTAGATTTGCCACAGAGCCAGACCAATTTAATTGTTAAGGCACAGTAATATTATATTTAACTATTTTTCTTCTTCTTCTTCTTCATCTTTTTTTTTTTTTTTTGAGACTGGGTCTCACTCTGTCACCCAAGCCGGCATGTAGTGGTGCAATCATGGCTCCCTGCAGCGTTGACCTCCTGGGCTCAAGTGATTCTCCCACTTCAGCCTCCCAAGTAGCTGGGACTACAGCTGTGCACTATCACACCTGGCTAATTTAAAAATTTTTTAGAGACGGGGTCTTGCTATGTTGCCCAAGCTGCTCGCAAACTCATGGACTCAAGTGATCCTCCCACCTTGGCCTCCCAAAGTATTGGGAGTACAGGCATGAGTCACCATGTCCCGCCCTGAACTGTTTTTCAATCCAATCTTTATTATGGAGAGAAAGCTGGACAATTTAAACAATTCTGTGTTTTATTTTTCCATTTCTGCATTCCATTCTTGCTAATATACAGGTATTGAATTTCATGCGTTTCATTCTTAATATTTTATGCCTTGTCTTCTTCTTTTTAGAAAACTTTAAACCAGCCAAAAGGCTGCAGGTAAGTATTGGTGGCTAGTTCCTGTGAGTAACAAGTCACCGTCCATACAGCCCAGGATGCCGACCTGGAGAACAGGCCAAATTCTGCAGGTGTGGTGGTTCATGCCTGTAATCCCAGCTCTTTGAGAAGCTGAGGTGGGAGGATCACTTGAGCCCAAGAGTTCCAGGTTACAGTGAGCCATGATCACGCCACTGCACTCTAGCCTGGGCAACAGAGCGAGACTCTGTCTCAACAAATTCTGACTGCCCTGAAAACACCCTGAATACCTAAAACATAGTAAGTTTAAAGCTGGTACCATAATGCTTGTCAATGGTTAAGTTCATGTGCGTTTCAGACTTCACCATTGCCTTCCCACCATACCATGAAACCACCATACCGTGGATTCAAGAACTACATAGCCTCCATGTATCCATGTGACCATTTCTTCTCATTTGGATGCGGTATCTGCTATTGAGCAAGGTCACTTGAAAGAGAACTGAACTTGGAATCAGGGTCCAAGTATGTGAGTTCCAGCTCTTTAGGGGACTAGACGAGACAATTTCATGCAGCGGATCAATGTCTGCCTGCTAAACTCAGACTGTTTAGGTACAAATGCTGGTTTTCCACTTTCCAGCTATGTGACTGTAGGCAAGTTTCTTTTGGAGACGGAGTCTCGCTCTGTCGCCCAGGCTGCCGTGCAGTGGGGCGATCTTGGCTCACGGCAACCTCTGCCTCCCGGGTTCAAGCGATTCTCCTGTGTAGGCAAGTTTCTTAAATCTTGTGACTCAGTTTTCTTATTTGTAAAATGGCAATGATATCAATAACTACCTTACAGAGTTTTTGTGAGGATTAAATGTCTTAAAAATGGTTTAGAACAGAGTCACAGATATTCTAAGCACTCAATCAATGTGGGCAATTATTATTACTAGCTCTATGACCTTGGGGATCTCACTTAAGCTCTGTAAGACTCTATTTCATCTTCTGTACAAGTCATGATCTCACATGATCTTTATGAAGACTGAACAAACTCAAGTAACATATTTATGAAGCTATTTTTAAAACATAATCAATGGCTAGGGGTGGTGGCTCACGCCTGTAATCCCAGCACTTCAGGGGGTCAAGGTGGGTGGATCACCTAAGGTCAGGAGTTCGAGACCAGCCTGACATGGTGAAACCCTGTCTCTACTAAAAATACAAAAAAATTAGCTGGGTGTGGTGGCAGGCACCTGAAATCCCAGCTACTTGGGAGGCTGAGGCAGGAGAATCACTTGAATCTGGGAGGCAGAGATTGCTGAGATCATGCCACTGCATTCCAGCCTGGGCAACAGAGATAGACCCTGTCTCAAAAAAAAATAATAATAATAAGTAAGTAAATAAATAAATAAAACATAATCAAGTATCAGACGGCTCCTTCAACCAAGTAGAATTAGTTCCTTTCTGCTCTTTGTTTCCATAATACTTAAAAAAACATACATGCACCTGTTATAGCACTTGTCACAAGGTATCGTAAGGATTTGCTCACCTGTTCTTCTCCCCCACTGACAGCACATCCTCCAATTCACCTCTGCATCCTTAACACATTGGACATACCTGGCATAGGACCAGTGCTCAATAAATATTTGTTTAAATGAATATCACTGAAACAATTGCACAGGAATTCTCATGGCCTTTGCCGGGAATGATTGATTATCACTTTTGCCAAGGGTCCTCGGCAGACCACCCAGAAATGTGCCTTTCTTCAGGCACAATATATTGAGATTCTGTCATTTCAGATGCTGCCAATGTTGTATTTGCTACATTTGTTCATTCTTTTCACTTAACAAATAATTAATGAGCACCTTCTGTGTGCCAGTCCTATGCTGGGCTCCGTATAGTATGCCCAAGTCGTAAATGGCCAGACTAATAACAGTTCCTGCATATTAGATATAAAGGGAACCTATGTACTATAGAATCATCCACTCTGAGATAATATGCTCCTCTGTTTAATTATTTCATAGAGTGATAGAATCTCAAGGTGGGAAAGAATGGCTTTTTTGAAGTAAAAGTCCTTATACTTTACTTTTATTTTTATTTACTTATTTTAGAGACAAGGTCTTGCTCTGATGCCCAAGCTGGAGTGCAGTGGCATGATCATAGCTCACTGCAGTCTTGAACTCCTGGGTTCTAGTGATTCTCCTGCCTCAGCCTCCCCAGTAGCTGGGACCACAGGCACACACCATCACGCACCACTTAGGGACATTATAGAATAATAATTAAGGTTTGGGATCTGACTGCCTGGGTTCAAATCCTAGATCTGCTTTGTGCTAAGGTGTAAGACCTTGAGCAAACTGCTCGATCCCACTAAGCCTCACTTTGCTCATCTGTACAATGAGCTAGTGGGATGTAGTAGAAATGACAACCACGTTAATCACTTACTATGGTGCTTGCCAAACAGCAAGCAGTTACTATGGTTTACTATTATAAACAATCTATTCTCCTCACATCCTCACTCCAGGGTTTGAACTTCCATCGCAAATGCACCAGTGAATAAGGCATGACTGCCCCACTTCCAGGCACCAGGGTCAGGGAATGTACTACCTCCAGTGGCTGTCCATTTGACTGCTAGGCAAATCTAACAGTTGACCAATGTTAATGGGTTGAAATATACTTACTTACTGCCATGTGGGATTACCCAGAAGAAATCAAATCTCTCCTCTGCTGGATAGCCCCACAAACTTTGAAAGGTAGCTACATATGCTAGTTATCACCATCTCTCTTGCACACCTACATACAACCTTGGATCTTTTTGTTATTTCTGAATAACGCTGTGCACCAGATTTCTTATACTTTTTACTTTTCTCATATAATCCTTTGTTTGTCAATGTCTCTGAATGTCTGAAGCCCAGAATTTATAAAACAGAACGAATGTGGTCTGATCACCAGTGAGTACTAGAGAACTAGCTCCCCTCTTGAGCACTACATTTCTATTAGTATAACAAAAGATTGATTTTTTTAAAAGCTACATCCCACTGTGTTGACTCATCACCTTCTTACCATCAACAGGAGACTGTAAATCTTCCTGCCATGTGGAGCTCAGTACATCATCTCGCCCCCACTCAGTACTTTTACAATTCAATTTGGGGATCTTTGAGTACTTCATATTGGTATCCATTAAACGCCATAGTGTTAGATAGGCTCCATTATTACATTTTGTCAGGATTGGGGGCGGGGAGAGAATCCGATTGTATCCTCCAACTTATTTGTTATTCTTTTTAGTGTGTGTCATCTGTAAATTTGTTCAGCATGCCATCAATGTTATTGTCTTAGTCATCGATAAAAGTGTTCAGGGGAAAACCAGACTTTCATTAGATCCCTAGAGACCGAAATGTGCATCAGCCTCTTTAAAGGAAAAAAGAAAACAAGGGCTGGGTGTGGTGGCTCATGCTTGTAACCCCAGCACTTTGGGAGGCTGAGGAAGGAGGATTGCGTGAGGCCAGGAGTTCAAGACCAGCCTGGGTAATGTAGCAAAACTTCATCTCTATTTTTAAAAGTATAAAAATTAAAAAGAAAAACTTGCAAAAGACATCATTCATTAATCAAAAAATATTTACTGAGTTACTACTCCAAGTGCTGAGCATCTAGAGCTGAACAAAATAATTGCCTGCCCTCATGATGCTTACATTCTAGAAGGGGAGGTAGACAATAAACAATTGGTGTTTTGGAAAACAAAAGCAGTTATGAGGCTAGAAAAATTTGACAGTGGGGATGGAGTGGGGTTGTCGATAGGCAGCATGGCTAAAGCAGTTGATTTTGGAGTATGGTTGAACCACTCACGTCTTACATTATTCAACTGGCCCAGAGTGGGCAGCAAGTCTT